GCCTGGGCTACAAAATGATCTCAAGACCAGTCTGAACTGCATAGTGAGACTCTGTCTCAAAAACACAAAAAAACAAAATAAAACAAAAACAAGAGAACACGAGAACTGGATCCAACATCTGCTAAATGATGCCAAAGAACTCAAGGAAGAAATTAGGCTGTTCATAGACTCAAATGACAGTGCCAGTACAGCACACTCTGGGACACAGTGAAAGCAGTCCTAATAGGGAGGTTTATAGCTGTGCATGCTCACATATCAGAAAAACAGGAGGCTGAGGCAGGAGGATTACCAAGAATTCCAGGCCAGCAAGACCCAAAAACCAAAACAAAACAACAAACTAAAAACTAAAACTAGAAATCCCCTTCTAGGAATTAAAAATCGGTGCCACAGTTTGGTTTTTGTTTTTTCTTTTTTGTTTGTTTTTCTTCCAGTACCAAGAATCAAACTCACGGCCTTGCGCTTGCCAGGCAGGCGCTGTGCAGCTGATCTAAATCCCCAGCCCTGGTGCCACAGTTTGGAATGGTGCTGCATAGATCAGTTTCCTTTCTTCTGGGTGTCCGGTGCAGAGCTAGAACATGAGTGTCCCTTCTGCAGGGAAGCTGAACTCTTTTAAGTACAGTGATCTGCAGAACCTGGCCAAGGGTCTGGACCTCTGGGCTAACCTGAGGGTAGATACTGTAATAAGCCTTGAAAGCCCACCTTAAACAGGAAGCAAAAAAGAAAATAGCAATCAGGTTGAAAGTTAAACGTCTGCATCCTTCTGTGATAAGACTAAGTTACAACCCTATCATGGCCCTTGGGAGCCGCCTCCCAGCAGGGTCCTGCTGAGATAAGCAGAGTCTACACTGAACTGTGGAACCAGGAAAGGCAGGAAGAGCAGGATCTGAGAACTATTTCAAAAGTCCCTTCTCTGCCACAGACGGTCCCTAGGACAAGAGAATGCAGTTTCCTCAGGAAAAAGTGAAATAAGTGATAAAGATTCAAAGGAACCTTCAGAAAGAAATTCTCTCTACAAAGAACAGGAAATGAACTGCAGTCACTACTCCAAAATTTTAAAAAGCTGGGTGTGAGGCTGAGGCAGGAGGATCACTGTGAGTTCGAGGCCCACCTGGGCTACAAAGTGAGCTCAAGTTCAGCCTGAACTGCATAGTGAAACCCTGTCTCAAAAAGGCAAAAAAAAACCAAACAAAACAAAAAAATAAAAAGCCCCATGAAGCTCGTTTTTAAGGAAATGGAGTCCCCTGATGAACATATTAAGAAAGAAACAAAATTCATCTAAAAGACAAACCAGCCGCTGGCCCTAAGGGAGAGGCCCCGACTCCAGTTCCCACAGAGGCGGAGGACCAGCCTGCCCTCAGCAGCCCTGCCAGGCCATACCATGGGCCCAAAGGGTTTGGCTAAGCACTCTGCTACTAAAACCCATGTCAGGTTTTCAGCTGACACTAAAGACAACGAGCAAAAGCGCCACCTGACCAAGACTCCAGCCAAAAGTCTCCACATGTGACCACACCTGGGAACAGCCCGACGGCCACGTCAGAGACCGCCGAGGGGGCTCCTGCTGCTGCCATCACCGCATCACAGTCCACAAGCCTGACACGCAGACCCCAGCTCCAATAAGAAGCCAGCGTGTCTGATCGCAGCATGTTCGTCTCCTCCCCTCAGCTGTGAGGAAGCTGAAGCCATGGTGGCGAGCGAAAAGAGAGGCTGCTCCCAATACACGCCTGCACTGAGGGGCGGCCGTGAAAATGTGCAGCCTCATCTCCAGACCAGGGAGAGCCACGAGGGAAACAGAAGCAAGAACAGAAGAAAGCCGGAGTTCTGAGAGCTTGCTGGGCTTCCTCATGGTTACAGAGGAATAATATTTTTGTAACTATTACTTTATTCTCAACTAATTTTCCTCTTGTAAATATCTTTACACTGTCCTCCCCATTTTAATCAAAAGACCTTTTTCTGCAGGTAACTTTTGTTCCTTATCTATGTGGTGTCTGTAAGCTCCTGTGCTACCACTCTGAAAGCTGTGATCACCTTAAAGCTCACAAATTCTTTGAAATAATTTTTAACCTAAGAGCAATTGTCTAGTTTGCTTGCATAAGCTCTGGGCTCAATCCCAGTACCCTCCTGACACACATACACACAATTCTCATGTAAGGGTTACTCCACTCTGTCATGCTTACTAATTTTTTGGAAAAGACTAGATTTTCTTTTTCTTTCTTTCTTTCTTTTGTCTTTTTGAGACAGGGTCTCGCTATGCAGTTCAGGCTGGCCTGGCCCTAGATTTTCTTAAAATACTATCCTTATCCTTTGTACTACCTGTGTGGAGCTTTAGAATTGTGAGGGTTGGGGATGTAGTTCAGCAGCACAAGTATCTGCCGGGCAAGTGCAAGATCTTGAGTTCGATTCCCAGTACCACACACACAAAAAATCTTTAGCCAGGCATGGTGGCTCACGCCTGTAATCCCAGCATTGGGGAAGCTGAGGCAGGAGGAATCTTTGTGAGTCTGAGGCCAGCCTGAACTGCATAGCAAGACCCTGTCTCAATAAAGACAAAAAAAAAAAAAAAAAAAAAAAA